CCATAGAGTTCATCTCGGTGATAGTTTCTTTTCTAGCCCTGCTATGCTTTCCTACATTATAAATAATCCAATCCAATCCTCAAAAGCATTAAAAACATTTTTAAAAAAAGGAAGAAAGAAAGAAAAAAAAATCTTTTGGAAAATTTTGTTTGTGATATGATGTATATCAATGAATGTTTGGCACTTGTAAATTCAACCAATCACAAGATCGATTTCATTTTTAAATAAAATCTCAAAATAAAAGGTTACTTTTCTTGTAATAAAATGGTAGTTTTGCCTCATATCAAATATTTGAGAATTAGATATTGATTTAGCAAAGAAAAAAGGCCATCTGCATATTAAGGGTAATTGTGAATAGATGGTAATTATGATAATTTAGCTTTTAAAAAGTGCTGGTAAACAAGAGATGTTAGGGTTTTATAAACAAATATTTGGGCACACAGAATTTTATCTGCAGTTGAAGAAATGAGATTTACATCCAATTACAATTTGCTGGATAAAGCTAACAGGAAAAACACATTACCATGAACAAAAGGATTCTACATTTTTTTCCCTGAAATACTGACTGTTACGGTACGTAAAAATTCAAAATATCAAATTAATAAATCGAATTTACTTTGTACTTACGTTCAATCTGACTGTCAGGTAGATCTTCACAAATCCAATTATGTGAAACTATTAGAACAAACTTTATTACAGTCTCTTTACAATATATATATCATTAATAATTTTGTTACAGTTCTGCGTTTTGTTTTTACATGGGATCAATTTTTCTGTAATCAGTTCTACACTGTTTATTTTTATCTCAAAAACATCTGCAGTGCTCGAGGGAGCGCTGTTAGTCAGCTCGTGGTTTCATAACACTGACAGAGAAAATATTAATTCCAAATTTTTCTGAAGATTAGCTTATTGTTTTTGATATCCTTTGTCTTTCTGTTTACGAAAAGTATAAATGTTTAAAATAAAAGAGGCTATGGGTGATTTGAACTTTTCATTAATCAAAGTAAAATTTCTTAATTTACCCAAAGAAAGCAAAATAAAGAACTGACATGATGTTTTGCCAGGACTAATTCATAGCGTTAGGATTATTGTCTTGCAACGAATGAAAACTGGATTTGTTTGGGCACTGTAAAGAATTTGTAATTGCAATATAACAAGAGATATTAATATGTCAAACTTTGTAAAATATAAGACATCATGATTAAAAAAACTGGAGAATATACTGCTTAATGTTGCCTTATTAAAAACTGGGAAAGAGATGCCATCATTGAAAATTAACATGAAATAGATAAGTGCCTCAAGAGTTTAATATAAAAGAAAATAATGATGATTCCAACATTTATAAAGATTACTATGAAAATAAGGACTAAAAATTTTTAAGGAAAGATTTCTTAATGAATAAAGATACAAGTTTAAAGTTAACATCTTTGCTTCAAAATACTACTTCATTTTTTAAATTTTCAAATGTTTTTTTAAGTAAATGCTTTACAATTTTAAATAGTTTGCATTCACATTTGAAAATCCTATTCATGTGTAATAAATTATACCTTTTAGACATAAAACATACCCTAAAGCCAAATTCTGACTATATATTGTATTCATGTGTAATAAATTATATCTTTCAGACATAAAACATAACCTAAAGCCAAATTCTGACTAATATTGTATGTTCTTTTTAATTTATGTGATTTTGAGAAGATACTTTTGCTGTTCTTATGCAAAGACTTTCAAATTATATTGTATATAACTAAAGAGAAAAAGTTTTGTCATCATAAGAGAGTTTATAAAAAGCCATTTCTTTCATCTTTTATTCAAAAAATATATTGCAGTTAAAAGAAAGAAAATGCAAATACTGTATGTTCATTTCATGATTTGGTTTAAAACAGTGTAGGATTCAAAAGCAGATGGATAAACAAATGGCATTAAAAGAATTTGTTCAATTCTTTGGTTATGAAAATACTAAAACTACAAGCAGACTCTAACAAGGAAAACTTAAATATACTGGTGAAACTGATTACGTGTTCTGCAGATGGATGAGTTTTTTCATCTATGAGGGGAAGCAGAGTTTTGTTTTCCATAGATGAATAGTATCTTTTAAATCTTGTTTCTGTTTTCATTGAAGAAGGAGGGGAAAATAAATTATTTCAGTTTGCTAATTGGAATTTTTTTAATAAAATTTAAATTGAATTAAAAAAAAAAAAAAAAAAAAAAACGTGATTACCTTGCATTTTCATAAAACAAACTGTGTACCAAATTTTAACTTTACGAGGTTATCAGGAAGTAGGTTAAAAATCAATGACAAAATTCTGACTTTACTGAAACATCATGAGTTAACTAAATAAAAGCTTATAAACATGTAGCAATCTGTAATAAAAAAAAGTTTAATTTGTGCAATGTTCTGAAACTTTTTTAAGTTAAAACAGGTCGATGTGTACATAAAAATGGAGTGGCAATTTCCTCTGCAGTAAAGAGAATTCTGCAATTCTTTTTTTTTTCTTTCAAATTTTCTTGCTGTTTTGTGAAATTTTCAGCATGCCACCAATTTTTAGATACCGTTTTTCATGTATTAGGTTGGTGAAATATTAGATATCCATAATTGCCAACTTCGAGGGAGGGTTGGGCAGATAACATGAGAGTACCAAAACAATTGCTACACATAAATATTTTTAGATAATTATTGAGGTTTTTAATGTATACTCAGTGTTATTAATAACTTTTGTGCCTCTTATAAATAGGAATAACTTATCTGGATAGTCAGTAAACCATGTAAATATGTTACACCTATTCTTCTGAAGCACTACAGCCTACTGCTGGCCAAGGCAGTCTCAAACAGTCTATGCCATTTGGACCTATACATGGCAATATTCCTCTAGTCTCCCCTGTGTATGGTATTGTTCTCCTCATTAGTGTAAAGCCACCTAATTGGTGGCCTTCCTCACTTTCTAACTCCCATAGGTTTGGTAAATATGAATTGTTTTACTGGGTTTGTACCTCCAGTTCTGCATAAATGACCCAACCATCGAAACCTGTAGCTTTTCGTGACTTTGACTTATTTTTATTCGTGTGTGCCAGTTAATTATTTAAACTGGGCACTGGTGTGCATAAAAAGAACTCTTAAATACCATGACATCACCTACTTTCGCTGCTAACTCACATACATTCTTCTCCCTCTGTACTTCTCCGTAGAAACTTTGTTTAATTTCTGATGGACTGTGAAAGTAATCTTTGCATCATTATGAAATAAATGAAGTTAACTACTTTAGCGACAAGGTAATCCACCACCGGTTAATGGGCAACTAACCAGGCTGTCTAAATTTGTTGTAGATTTCATAATTATACATTGATTTCCAAACACCATTTTCAAAAACAGTGCCATATACTTTTCTTAGTATTTTTACGTTCAGATATCAGTAGTTTACTTTCAAGTCATTGCCAGCACTAGCAGCCATATAGTATGATGGGATGTAACCAGGGTTTTATATACATTAATTTTAGTATTACAGCATATAAATTGAGATTTGAACAGATTTTTAAGACCATAGTAGCATCTATTTGCAACAAGGAGCCTGTTATTAATTTCCATAGATAAATCATTATTATTAGTGACAATAGTTTTAAGATATTTGAATTGTGCCACATTTTAAATTAAAAAAAGTGTAGTCATTCACAGTTAGTGGCAATGGATTAGTTGATTTATGGGCAATTTCTAAAAATTTTGTTTCATCTTCCATTTATGGTTAGGCCTAATTTTCTTGCCTCAGATTGAATGATCCTGCGACATACTTTTTGGATCTACCCACTAAAGCAATGTCATCGGCAAATGTCACGATTTGTATTGTCTTATGGTAAATGATTCCTCTATTCATAAGACCAGAAGCTATGATAGCCTTCTTAAGGGCCAGGTTAAAAAGTAAACAGGAGAGAGCATCACCCTGCCACAGACCTCTGTCAGTACAGAAAACTTCAGATAAATCATTACAAAGTTTAACTCTGTATTTTACCCTTTTACGTGTAGCTTTGTTAGACTAATTAACCTAGATGGTATTTCAAATTCCTCCATTGCCTCGTATAGTTTCTGCCTATTAATGCTGTCATACACAGCTTTAAAGTTGATAAAAAGATAGCAGGTGCTAATTATTATACTCTTTTGGTTTCTCCAAAATCTGCCTCAGGGCATGAATTTGATCTCTACTTCTCCCTAAGAAATCCACACTGGTACCATCCAATGACTTTCTCAACATGTGGTAATAACATCTTGTAAAAAACATTTAAGAAAATTTTAAATATAGTATTCAAGAGAGTAATTCCCCGGTAGTTGCAACAGTCTTGTGTATCACCTTTTTTAAAGATGGGATAGATGCAGCCCTCATCCCATTCAATGGGCATCTGCTCTGATGTCCAAACCCTGCTAACAATAGCAAGTATAGTCTTAATCAGATCAGGTTTGTCAACCTTCAACAATTCAGCATTAATCCCATCACTCCATCTTCCTTAGATATCATTCTTTTCATTTAGGAGCACACCATCTTTATTTGTACAGCTAATTCCATTTGGTGTGAAATCTTTCCCAATATTGTTTATCAGCTGATAGTATTTTCTTGATTCTTTTGGGGACTTGAGCTTTTCAATTTCCCTGTACTGCTTGCTCCTCAAGAAAAAGCCTCATTTTCTTTCTAAGCAGAATCTTTTCCTGCCTTTTACTCCCTGTATTCCTCCTCAGCTCTTCTGGTATAATGCTTTTGAATCATTAATTTAGAGGCAGTACATGTTACACTTATTAGCTAACTCAAATTTAGTTGAATGCTTCTAATACTGAGGGTTTTTTAAGGTTTTGACTAAATAAATCATTGTGCTATTTCTTATTGATATTAATATTTAAATCCCAATTTAAAATAAATGTTTCTTTGTTAAATAAAATTAACAGTCTCATAATATAAATACAGAAAAATCAAAGTAACTGAAAAGTTGTGAAAAGTTCAACACTTAAAGAGACACAAAGATTTTTCAAATAGAATTTACAATATTTATTAATCAAAACTTGAACAGTTAAAGGACTCGTAGACAATGCTTATAAATATAACATTTCATAACAGATGCTCATTTTCCTTATATTTCCTTCCTTAGAAATAATATATATGATATAATATATATAATATATCATGATAGTTTTTTTAAATTTTACTTTCCACATAATCACTTAAACTGCAGGCAACTAAATTATGCTTACTTCTGAGAATTTACTCATACAGATGGTGATTACAGATGTATGATGTTGAATAATGTTTTATGTTATAAAAATATCAGAATACTATATATCAAACAGAAAATAACATTAACATAAATAGTGAAATTATATAACTAAATGTCTTAAGAAATATATTCAGCTGTTAATGTAATTTAAAATTTGAATTTACATTAGAGATTGGACCCAAAGTGCCAAACTTATGAAAATAAGTTTATGACTCTTAATAACAATTAACATATTTTCTTTTAAATGTGTACTGCTCATAAATATATACAATAAACACAAAATTAACTTCATTCTAATGAAAAGTTCTGAGTGTAATCATATTCAATTGTGGGAATAACTGCTTGCATGAATTTCAAGAAAATTATTAGATACATATGGACACCAAGATCTCCACCTCCTTCAGTTACTGTATGAATGATCTTTTTCATTACTTCTGCATGGCTAAAAAATAACAGATATCCTATTAAAAATTTATTACAAAAATCTTAAAAGACAATTTTACAAAACACACAAATCGTTCATTTACTTCACAGTATCTTATTACCGAATTTGAACAATTCTGTAAATACGCAAAACATTAAATTAGTTAATCTTAACCATTAAATTAACTTTAAATAGTAATAAAGTACCATTTTATCCAGTATATATGTATTACTAGAAAGCCCTGCGGTCATATGAAATGACTGCTGTTCTAGATATTATAAATTGATTATAAAGAGATGATTGCTAATGCAAACAAATGTTCAAATTCCCCGACATGCTCAATTTGTGATCAGCTGAAAATTCAGTTTAAAATGCTATGTCGGAATAAAATTGAGCAAAATTTTAAACTCTTTATGCAAAAGGATATTTAGCATAGGAGTTTGGGTAAACGTACCTGATGAGATATACTACAAACAACTCGTTAGTTGGTTTCATCTCCTTTAATTTCTCAACGTTTGCAAGTTTCTAGGTAATTCATATGTAAATATAGTTAAATGCATAATAAGCAACAATTGTATGAATTAAAAATATTTAAATATTCTTAAATACCATGATAATTTAATTAAAACAATGATAACTGCATGTATGGTATCAGTGTATATGGACAATTTGAACGCCGTGCAACTTCACCCCATTGGCTAGTACAGTTACGCAAGCAACAAATAAACTATCGTTGACAAGCAGACACTTAAGCCACATATAATAAAGAAGCCTGGATATGCAACAAGAAGCAAACACATTAACAATCGACCGACTAATCAGTTCTGAAATAGGATTATGAAAAGGGAAAAGTTTCACTCAATAAAATCTAAAGAACCTTTTTCCATATACTAGCCTATTTACAATCATTTTACTTATGTTAAAAAAAAAAAAAAAAAAACTATGCAGCATGTCCAAAAAGCCCATGTACTCATACAGTTTGAATATCACAGAGAACAACGGCAATGTAATCTTAGTTTATTTATTTAATACATTCTACAGCTGCATAATTACTTCTTCTAAATATATATTTAATGAATTTGTATGCATTCCACCATGCAGTACACACAGACATGCAAGTCTCCGAGTCTTCTCTGACATGTCGTTAAACATCCAAAAGGTTATCTCTTCAAAGGTTCCCTTCACACTTCCACATTCTTTTGTCCTGTACCAGTAATGACAGACAAGAGACTTTATCATTTCCTACAATGAGTTAGTTGCCTTGTATTGAAAGGCACAAGCTTGTGGGGGCCATTTCAATGAAAATGGAGATGATGGAGAACCAAGTCATTTCAGCAAACTCAAAATTGTTCATTAGCATGGGTGAACTGCAAATACTCCATACCCATTTGAAAATAACAATTATGAGTAAAACACCATATTTGGATATTATGTCAACAAAGCACGGTAGGCCTCTAAAATGCTGCTATATGTCACCGTCAGATTATTTGTTCCCAAACACTGGTCCAGATGCTTTCATATGCAAAGTTTTTTCATGAGCTCATGAAGGCAGTATATTCAGCTTAGCTGCTCTTTTATAAATCAGTTTAGTTTGAGAAATCCTAATTGAATGACTGACATGTTTCCTCACACATCAACTTACATCCACTGCATGGTTTGTTTTTGGATACTTCCTGAAGCAAACCATGTTTCTCCCAATCAATGTTGTTTTACAAAGTGGATCCTTGTCAAAGTAATTTCTAAATGCAGTCATTACCTGTGTGTTGTTATTCATAGAGCCACGCACATGTCACTAACGGTTTGTCAACTGTGTGACTGTGGCGATTCATGATAGCTTCACACCTGAAATACTCCAGGCGACCTTCAACAAAGGAATACCAGATAGTGCTGTCTGTGACTATGGTAATAAGTACTATAACAAAATTACACTACAGTTTTCTCTCTGATACTCATATTTAAGAAGAAGAGATAAGACATATTGTAGAATGGAGTAAAAAGCACTACATATTCAGTAGAAATCTGCACTTAATCATTTTTCAAGAACAGCAATATCAAACAGATCCAGCATACTTAGCAAAAGAATAAGAGTAACCATAGTAAAGAAGCTCCTCCTTGCTACACAGAAAATGCATAATGAAAAGAACAATTTATATATATAAAACCTGACATTGCTCTGAAGGGCACTACACTTGTTAAACCAACAATTACTCTAAAACTAACTTCTAGAACTTGTTAAAGTAGAATTATCGAGAATTTATATTTCATTTTGTACTACCTTACAATCATATTAAGTAAAAAAAATTACTACATTCTTAATACGTTTAAGTATTTATAGTGTATTTAAAGATATACAATGAATTTAAATATAATTAATGAAAAATAACTTCTTTACATACACACTTTTTTAAATCTTACTTCAAAGTCTAAATATGCTCTGAATGTTTTATAAATCACCTTTTTTTCTTCCTTGAATGAAGTACAGCAAGTATATAATGGCAAAAACATTTGTTTTTTTTTTCAGATTTCAACAGAAGTATCCATTTTGACTATTGACAAATCCCCTTTGTTCAATTTTTGGGTGACATTTGTATATATGGACAGAATAACACTGAATAACAGAATAACATACAGTTTACATGTGAATTGTAATGTGAATGTATGATGTAAAGACAATGTGAAGTATTTCAAAACATATTGTCAAATGGATTCAACATGGACTTTTTGCGACATCTATACGTATGCACATATCTTGTGTAACTCAAAAAAGATTAGCCATAGAATGTTGAAATTTTGTACTACTATGATCTTGTGCGCCTTCCTTTTTTATTGCAATCAACAGCACCAAAAGATGTTTTTGAACTCAAAGATGTCATTTTGAATTTTCCTTGAGGCATCTGTTAATTAAGTTAGAATAATTAGAGGAAATAAGTTTAACACTCCATCGGACGCAATATATTTTGGAGTATGTTCGGATGCATTGAGCCTGAGAGGCACTCTTTGATTTACTAAACGATTTTATACATAAAAAGTTTTTTCTTACAAAAATCAAATGCTATCCATTATTATTAAAGTTATAAAAATACTTAAGGGATAATAAAACAATTTTTATAGTCTTAAAAGGATGCTATTTATATTAAACAAATTTTGTAAAATAACTTTTATAAAGTTGTTACACAAGACTAATTATAGATTTAAAGTTAATTAAAACTAGAACATAAGTATAATCTCTCATTCGTCTAACTTTATAGCATGGAAGATGCATGAAAACAGCATACGAGAGGCAGGTTGCTGTGTGACATTTTTTGCACTCATATTAGCTTAATCGTCTCTTACAAGTCTCCAAATAGTACGTTTCACATCTACGTCTTTTTGGAGATATCTGTGGCTTATCATAATTTTGAGAAGATTGTTGTTCTTGTTTGGGCATGTATCTCTTTAATTTTTGTTGTAAGTGTACTAGCATCCTAATAAGACTTTGTTGAGCAAGTTGTCCAAGCACAAGTTCATTAGATTGTTGTTTTATGAACAGCCTTCTTTTAAGAGCTGTGTACCCATCATCTACATGTATGATCTGAGAATTGATTGAAATGTTTAACATTGCAAAAAAGATTACCATGGGCCACAGTTTTACATTCTGAGACACATTATATGAAGCACACATTTTATCTACCCATAACTCGGATTCATTGAAGAAACTGATTATTTCTGGTTTCTGATTTTTGCCACAGAAAGATCAATAGGTTGGTCATCATGCAACAATGATAAAGAATGATATTTTTGTTTTTTCTTGGACAATACACAACAAAAGTGATGCCCAAATTGCTGGAGTGTAGTGGGCTGGGTTTGTCTCAAATAAAAGTCAGCAATTTCTTCAATGTCGTCTTCTTCGCTTCCTACTTGTTCTGCCTCTGATCCCTCTTCATGTTCCTCTACACCATCTTCTGAATCAATATAGCTTTTGACATCAAAATCTTCATCTTTGACATCCTCCAATAAATGGTGAATTTCTTCCAAGGTCTTGATGGTTTCTCAAATCAAACTTTTTTTTAATTTTTTTTTTTTTAACATTCTGAAGCCTGAATCAAGTAAATATTTATAAAATGTCATTATGAAAATGTCTTTGCCAAATTTTGTAAGAAGCAGTATTTTAAATTAATAGAACATTTTACAATCCATGACATGATCAGACGCAATGCCCAAAAACGTACTCAGTTTTGTAGATAATCATAATATATTTTATTATATGAAATTGCTACCCAAAAAATGTGCTACAGTATTAAAATATCACAGAAAACTTACTTGTCAAACTGCAATATAATTGAGCACAATGAGCCTATTAGATCATTTCATTTGTCAACTGGAAATGAAGAAATATATTCACTGACTGACCTTACGATTGCCATTGGCAATCGATTGGCACTAGAGGATGCGGAAACTAACTGGATGGAGAAGGAGTAATGACGTTTGAAAGAGGCAGGGCAAATAATAGTGCTCGAGGTGTACCTAGCAGATCAAATGTACCTGATGGAGTGTTAAATAAAGTGCAACAAAAAATATGTATTATTTAATAGGCTGTAACAAGAAAGCCATATCAGTGTATTTTCCCCCTACTATTATGTTACTGCATACAAAGAATTTGTTTTTCCTTCTTAAAATATGTTTAGCTAACACGTAATTTCTCATACTTAACTTTTATTCAGAGGTATTCAAAAGTTACATACCGGCAAGGATGTACCGATGCTCGTGGTGAACCAGGCAAATGGGGATGATTCTCCATTGTGACTGTTTTCTTAGCATGATCCTGACTTATGTCTTCATACATTTCTTCAATAGTTAAAGGCTTACGGTTCTAAAATAAACAAAATGAATAATACTTAATACATTACGTAAGTATAATTTACAAACAACAAACTTATGCAATCACACAAGCCTTCTTAAGGTTTTCAGATTTTATATTTAATTTAACAGAGTACCAATATAAAAATGAAAGGCAAAATGACAATCTGTGCATTTCCTGATTCCTGGAAAATAATCTTTACTGTTATCAATTTTATTTGACAACTGAAACAATATTTATTATGTTTTATTATTTAAAAACGATACAGAGATCAGATGTTTAATGCTTCGTACACTAGTTGATTAGGAACTTGAAAGATTTCGATTGTGAAAGCACATAGATTTGTTTTATAACCGAACTACCGAATGCTGCGATTAATGTTATTTAAATATTGTACATATTAAAAAATACATTTTAAAAGTGATTGATGTTGATTTATAGTAATCTTAGAATATTTTGAAACATATAGGATCCACTGCAATGTGCAGCCACCTGCCTTCAGTTATTGGTTATTTCATGCTGACATCAAAAATAGGTGGTGGTCACATTAATAGAACTAGACTGTGTATAATAACTATCATGAGCATATACTGCACCAGAAAAGCACATCATTAGTTTCATCATTTTAGCACTGCATTATGAAAAACGAATTCTTGCATTAATACATGCAAGAATTAAATAACATGAGCAAAAAAGGCCAAATTTAAATATATGCTTCAAGATGATGACTCTTTAGCAGCAGTAACAAAGTAATTAGAAAGAAATGCATTTTGATTTTAATAAAACACAGAACTTTCCAGATGATGGAATATTTACTTAAATTTTAAGACATACACTGAAGTGCCCCTGAATTAGGGATAGCAAGAGCTCTGCATATTGTGTAGCGTTGTGCATCATTTATGTGCAAGTGAAGGCGCTGTGGTAACTTCATATATATAGCACGTACTGTGGTTGTTCTGAATTAGTTGTTGGAATTGCCAGTATGGGTAAACTGCCCGATTTATACGCTTTCAATCACAGACAAATCGTAGGTGCATGACGCATGGGCCATTCAATTTCCAAAATCGTCAAACAGCTAGGATTTTCAAGGTCGACAGTGTCAAGAATATACCAAGAATACATGGATGGTGGACAAAACAACTAGCGATCGGGCAAACTGCAAAGGACAATTAGCCTTGAGAGTGCGTGGTGAGAGATGGCTCAGGGTATTGTATGTAGCCAGTGAAACCAAACATTAGTTCAAATTACCACCTAGTTGAATGACGGTGCTAGTCGTACAGTCAGTAAATGGGTAAGTGAGTGAGTGTGATTATGGCAAAGCCTCGAGGGCTATCTGCCTAAAGGGAGGGATGCCTTCGTGACTTTCTAAGGGAAACTGGCTCGTATACACGTTACACATGGGGAAAACCACAAAAACGCCCATGCAGCCAGCCCGTTCGCGGGATTGTCAGTAAATGGACTGTGCAATGCTCGCTTCATCCTATGGGTTTCGGGAGCCGTCAGCCTACGAGAGTACCATTGCTCAAGGCTCACTATCGGGCTGCACGTCTTGCCTAGGCAAAAGAGTGCAGAGACTGGAGTGTAGAAAACTGGAAACAAGTAGCACGGATTGATGAGTCTCAATTCCAACTACTTAACGCTGATGAGAGGCTGAGAATATGGTGTCAGGCTCATGAAGCCATGGATCCTGCATGCCAAGTTGGAACTGTACAAGGGCATGGTGGCTCAATCATGGTCTGGGGTGTTTTTTCGTTGCACTGTTTGGTATCTTTGGTGCGTGTACCAACCTCCCTCAATGCAATTCAGTACGTAGAGTTGCTGGGGGATCCCCTCCATCTGTTTATGCTGTTCTGTTATCCACACAGTAATGGAGTTTTCCAGCAAGACAACTAACTCTCACAAGTCCCGGTTGGCTATTGGTTGGTTGTATGAGCATTCCTCTGACTTTTCTGTCATAAATTTGCCACCTACAAGCCCAGACTTAAGTTATTGTGAGCTGGTCGCTTGGTGAAGTGTTCCTGATCGATCGTGCGCGTAAGTAGTTTTCGAGTTTGGTTTTTGATTTTTGCAAGTGTTTTCATGATGGACTTGCCTTTCCGTTAGGGACGGTAGGCTTTTTGGACTGTTGCAATGAATCCAAATTTAGAGTACATTCAGACTTTAAACTTAATTAATGATAAAAATGTTATCGAAAATGTTATTGAAAGTGGTTCAGAAGAGGAATTAGATGCTATATCTACCTATTTGCAAATCCAAAAAAATCTTATTGATAGTGGTCAAAAAATAGTTGATCCAGAAGTTGAAAAAATTATTTCAGGTTATGGTAGCCAAACTCTTCAGTAAACGGCAATTAAAAAATGTTAAATCTTCAAAGGAAATTGATGAGATTGTAGGAATTGGTCAGATTCTTACCCAACAAAACATGAATAATGTCAATGTGCAAGACAATAACTCTCTTAAGCAGGGCGAAACTTGGATTAAACCCAAAAAAAACGCACAAGCGTACTTTAAGTGATAGCAGTAACTCATCTGTTACAACAATAAAAAATAGATATTCTACCCTTAGAATAGATGACAGGCATGGAAGTCAATCAAACGCCCAACACAAACCCTCAGGATATGGATCCAATCAGAAGAAGGCGAATTCATAGCCCCTAGAAAAACTGCAAACCGTGTACCGCCGATTATAATATCTGATGTTACGTCTTGGAAGCCCCTTAGAGATGAAATTAAAAAATTTACCACAGCTATGGAGTGCGTACAAAAAGGTGGAGACATCCACATAAAAGTCAAATCTGACGATGACTATCGCTCAGTCACAAAATTTTTGGATAATAAGGAAATACCTTATCACACTTTTCCCCTACCAAGGGATAAGCCCATTAGAGTAGTAATAAAGAAGCTTTCAGTGCATACTAAACCTGAAGAAATATTAGAAGAACTCCAACAATTAAAAATTCCAGTTAAAACGGTTAGACAGATAACCAAAAAGATTGACAATGAAATTGTCAAATTGCCAACTTTCCTTGTAGAAGTCCCACGGACTGTTGAAGGAAAAAAGATATTTCAGGTAACACATATCTTGGACCTTGCGGTCAAAATTACCTCTTTCCAACCAACCCCAGGACACAAACAGTGCCATAACTGTCAGAGATATGGACATAGTCGCTCCCACTGCAAACATAAACCAAGATGCTTAAAGTGCGGATTAAACCATATCACCACTAGCTGTACAAAAGATAGAAATCTTCCAGGAAAGTGTTGCCTTTGTGGGGGACCCCACGTCAGTTCCTACAGGGGTTGCGAAATGCACCCTGACAATATTAAACGTAAGATTGCTGAAAAAGAAAATCAAAGAGATGCCTGGAGAAAGACAAGAACAAATCCTCCAGAAAACAACTTGGAGAACTTCCCCCCATTACCGAGTAGGAGAAACACTAACGAAAATGTTAATGAAGCCAGTCCCTCATCAGCCAACCAGAATGAAGCTCACGAAAGAGAACAATTAGGCTCCGCCCCGGATTTCCTGAAATGGATCAAAAATCTATTTACCTCAAGGCAAAGCGCTATTTGAACGCTTTTTTAAAGCCAAGTCAATAATGGAAAAGCTCCAAATAGGGTGGGAAGCCTTTGAACTTTTAGCAAATTTAAATTATGAGTGTTAATATTGTAAATAACTATGCAAGCATCCAACTTACTGCCTCCAGCAGTTTAAATTTCGCCTTCTTTAATGCCAACGGAGTTCGCGGCAAGAACACTGAGATCATAAACTTTCTTAATTGCCATGACATTGATATTTTCTTAATTAACGAGACACATCTTCGAGCTAGTGATAAATTTAACATCCAAGGTTATAGAACCTTTAGAAAAGACAGAGAAAATAACAGGGGTGGTGGCACCCTGATTCTCATCAGAAGACACTTGCAGGCCACCTATTTTAATCTCCCAAGTTCTAGTAATATTGAAACTACTGCCATCATAGCTCACTCTCGCACTAATGAACCTATTGTGATTATTTCTGCTTATAATCCCCCGGGACATAATATCAGCAACAGTGACATGAGCATCTTTAGCGGCATTATGCTTCCCACAATACTAGCCGGAGACTTAAACGCGAAGCATCACTCCTGGAACTCTCCGACGTGCAAATGCAAACGGGAACTTCCTTCATAATTATGCCCTTACAAATGATTTAAGTATCTTTGGACCAACGGATCCCACCAGATACAGCCATACTGGCAGTGCTGAAGTTCTTGATATTGTTATCACAAAAAATATTGCACAAATTCCCTTCCTACAAGTTTCACACCAGCTAACTTCCGATCATCTGCCTGTCAGATTTACTTATTACGGCTTTGAAAAAATATTCCACTTAGAAAAATCACAAACTGGGATAAATTCATTCATTCTCTGGAAAAACTACCAGCGCATCCTGCTTTAGCCGATATTACTGACATTGAGTATCAAATCACTAAGGTCAATAATTGTTGTATAAAAAGTGCTCTTGACAAATCTACTAAATATGAAGAACATAAAAAAGAAAAACTTCCGGATGAACATTATTGACAAAATTAAGGACAAAAATCGCACCGCTAAAATTTGGCGCCGTACTGCTGATCCTAATATCAAAAGAATTCTTAAACAGAAAAATAGGAATATTAAAAATCTTCTAAGTGAATACAGATCTGATAGTTGGAATAATTTATTAGACTCAATGGACTTCAACCCTGATACCAGTGTGGCGTATTGGGAAAGCGCTCAGAAAAACTCATAGCGACAACATTGGACCGTTGCACACCGATACTGGAATCGCATATTCTGAAAAAGATATGGCAGAAGTTCTTGCAACACATCTTGAAAAAACCCAACCTTCACGACAAATAACTCACAAGATGAAGATACAGAAGAGGAAGTTTTTAATTTCATTATTCACCTTCCTGATAGAACAGATGGACAGCATATTGGTTACACCACCTCGCCCATTGAAATTCAAAACATTATAAAAAAAATCTGAAAAATAGAAAGGCCCCCGGCTACGACGGGATAACAAATAAAGTGCTCAAAATTCTCCCCAAGGGATATATTGTCCTAATTACCAACATAATTAATGCCTGCATAAGGCTTAACTATTTTCCGCAGCAGTGGAAAATGGCACATATCATTACTTTTGTTAAACCTGGCAAAGATCCAAAAAATGTTAACTCTTATCGCCCAATTAGCCTGCTTCCAAGTCCTTAGCAAAGTTTTTGAGCGAGTTCTACAGAAACGGCTGACCAGACACTTGGAAGATAGAGGGATAATTCAAAATGAACAGTTTGGTTTTCGCCCACAGCATAGCACAGTACATCAACTTCTCAAATGTTACTGAATTTATTGCCGATTCCTTTTCCAAAAAAAAAATACTATTGCAAGCTGTTTCCTAGACTTAGAAAAGGCATTTGACAAGGTGTGGCATGAGGGACTCCTCTTTAAGCTACACCTTGCTCATCTGCCTATAAATTTTATCAAACTAATGCAAAGTTATCTAAAAAATCGCAATTTTCATGTCAAAATCAATAACACTTTATCCTCAAGAAAAAGAATCAAAAGCGGCGTCGCCCAGGGAAGTGTTTTGGGGCCAATTCTCTTTAATATCTTTTACTAATGATATGCCAATCCCACTAAATTCAAAACTTGTGAAATATGCAGATGACACCACAGTTTGCCGTAGATAAATTAGAAGAAGCAGTTAACATCATCGCACATTACCTCAAATCTTGGAAATCAATCCGGCTAAATGTCAAATTCTGCTCTTTAGAAGGTATAGAAAATTTACTCCAGTAAACGTAAATATAAAGATAGAAGATCAGCCACTCCCCGTCGTCAATAGTACTAAATACCTGGGTGTCATTTTCGATTCACAACTCCTCTTTAAGGAACAGACTGCATATGCCTTACGGAAAGCTACAGTCGCAAAAATGGCTCTGTACCCTCTCATCAAAAGAGACTCAAAATTAAACATTCAATTAAAGAAAAGAGTTTACATGATGCTGATTAGACCGACACTACTTTACGCAATTCCCATATGGGCTACAGTGTTCAAAACGTACAGACACAAGTTACAAGTCTTTCAAAACAAGATTCTAAGAGAAATAGTTAATTCTCCTTGGTTCGTTAGAAATTTGCAAATACACAAAGAATTAAAAATCAGACCAATTGCTGACCAAATTATTTCAACCTGCCACAACTTTTATAGTAAAATTGAACAGTCTCAATATGATCATATTAAGGAACTAATCAATTATTATGATCCAACACTTGAAAATGCTGCTAAGCGTCCTAGGAGCATTTTTCATAATCCGAGGTGGTGAAACATGTAAATAGCTGTACATACTGTAAATATTTCCCCACTAGAGACTTTTGTGTTTTTTTCAACTTATTTAGGACTCAAAAAAAGCTCAGTGGATTACTACTTTATATCATTATTTTCAAGAATTTTATATTTTATTAGTGTTCCTATAAAAAGACTTTGTTAGGGACACACAAACTGACTTAATTATGTGTGTTTCACCATCCCGCCTTCTAAACTGTGACTTATGCTGAAATATTGTGTCTTTTAAAATTACAAGTGTTTCTTAAAAAAGTGTGTTTATTCCAGAACTTTGTACAGTGTGAACTGTTTGTGAATACTGTTAATTTATATGACTTTAACATGAACTCTTGAAATTCACCAGAAATATGTTACTGTTGACTTATTCCTCATTTGAGCCACTCCACCAGTATAATTACGATCCATTTCATTCTGAACCTGTTTCAAAAGCATACTTAATTTAAATTACTTAATGTTTATTTTTTCAAATGCTTTATTAAGCAAACTTTTCAGTTAGTTATATCTTTCGTCACAGCTCGAACAGCTCCCAGATGCTTTTTCACTCTACATACCTTTGTATTTGCTTCAGCTTCGCCTAGTAGGCGCGGCGTTACACGCCCATTTTTTGCAATTATATATACCAACGCCTAAGGGCATTTTTTTCAAAAGCGGTGGTTAAAGCAGCAGAGGCTGCTAATTGCCTCCTAACCATTCAAAAGACAAGACAAGACAAGACCAGACTTAAATCCTATTGAGCAACTTTGAGATGTTTTGTAACAAGGTGTGAAAGGCCATCACACAGCATCAACAAACCTTACTGAATTATGGACAGCTTTAGCCAATATTTGGCAGGCCATTCCCGTGGAACGTTTCCAGAAACTTGTTGAATCTATGCCTCGTCATGTGGCAGCCCTTATCAAGGCCAGAGGAGGCTCAACTCATTACTAGGTGGGTATCCCTAATTCAGTAGCACTTCAGTGTAGTTTAAATTACAGTTTTACTACAAAATCAGTAAACGTCTACTCAAAATATTAGTCACAACTTTACCTTCACAGTCACGAATTATGACAGATTAAGAGTAAAGCAATGTAATCCATATGATAATTGCACATTCAATACTTATATGTTTAATCATACACAAACTTACTTCATCATAACCGAATAACCATAGCCTAGGCGTCTGATAATATTTATCATACGTAATATTCAAATCATAAGTTCGAGTAGGTACAATTCCTGCTTCATTTGATGAATTATTTGAATCTTGGTTCTCATTAGGTTTTGAAGCTGCAGATATATCTAAAGTTGCCTATAAGAAATTAAAAGCAAGAAGTTTTAAAACAAATTACTTCAATAAAAATCTTCGCATTTTAGTAATTAAAAATAAGTACACAACTTTTTATTACAACATGTATCTCAGCAGAAAGAACTGAAGAGTACAAATCTCCCCATTATCAACACCATTATGGCTAATTATGTAAGGGTTTAAGATGCCTTTAAAGACCATCTGAAATATTTAAGGTTGTAGATTCCAATTAATATATTTTTGCCTGTATATAATTCTTCAGTTTTCTTAATTTTCAGCTGTCATTTAATTTTAGGCAGTCTGCCCCTCCAAAAATATATATATGAAAAGAAAATAGAGTTTAAGATTGCACTGATAAAATAGATTTTTCATTAGATATCCAAAAGGAAATGATAATAATATTTTACAGAGAGTTCAGGGAGAAAAAGAATTAAAGCTTAAGAATTTAATACGAAATGTTAACACCTCTCATTTGTATATACATACTACAGTGTCTTTTTATGCTGTCAATAACGATATTAATTATAGTTTGTGGAATTAAGTTCCACTCCTCCTGAAGGATCTTCAGGATGTTTACATCTCCAGGAGAAGGATGTCTCTTTGGAAATGCTTTCCAAGGTAATCCCAGTAAGTTCTCTTAAGAGTTGAAGATCAGGAAATTTGGGTTGTCAGGATATTTGCTCAGTGTCTTCACTTCAACCCTTTCAGAAGCGATATATAAAAGAATTTAAATTGTAAAATTTGAACTGTAACTTATGGACCTAAGAACACATAACTGAGACTAAAAAAAAAAAAAAAAAATCTAGAGAGAACTCCTGAATTTTGCATTACCCCCTCGAATGCAGTTAACAATTGTTAATTTTTGTTTTTGTTTTTACTTTTGATGTGTGTAAATGAGTTTTTGATAAAGTCAAAAAGTTATAAAATTTCTCTAGTAATTTAAAATTTTAGAAATAAAATTTATGTTTTAAGGTACTTTAATGATGACACCCAGTTGAACATACCTATGTAAAATATGTGAAAAAAATTTTTGAATGTACTTTAAATTCAATATTATTATTTCATCAAAAAATTTAGCAAACATAACACTGCATGAGTAAACCATATCATGCTCTAACTAAATTAGTATTATATTATAAGGAAATGTATCTCAGCTGAAAAATTAAAAGTTAAAAAATGAAACACTATGACTCGGCTGAGAAATTACATTTTTGAAATAATTACATTTTATGTTTTAGATAATACATAAAGAAAATATGCTTCCTGCTATGATACCAAGAACTCCTTTCTCCCAGCACACTTTCTATTATCGGTCACCATAATGAACTCTTTTTTATTTCTAGTAAATATAGGACATAATATACAATTTTGTTCAGGAAGAAAAGCCGTTAAACAATTTTATTATTTGATACACCTCAAAGCTCTTATTTTGATTTTCGGCCCTTGGACCCCCTTAGGAGTTCTTTTTAACTTTTCAATAACTAAGGTAGTAATATACAGTCAAAAGTCGTTAATTCGGACACCCATAATCCGAATGATCTATAATCCGGACCTCAAAGCTACAAACTTTCTGCGCATGCGTCGCGTTCACGCATGCGCACAGGCGTTTACGAGAGCGCGTAAGACCTTCGGCTGCGAATAGTTTGTGCGCATGCGCGTTAATGTGTAACGGAGTTATACGTAAGCTAAAGTTACTAATTCAGTTAATGTTGCAGATTGCGTTGTTCCTTAATCTTCGAATGGATCCGGCTTATTATTTTTTGCAGACTGTTAGAGCAATTTTATAAAAAAGCTTGAACTTTCGATTATGTCAATAGAATTTCCGATATATATTACTACAAAGTGAAATGTTTTAAAATCCGAAATCTGTTTATCAATTTCACGCTGCTCTGCGGCAGAGGGGGGGGAGAAACGTCATTATTAGATTGTGATAGATTAGAAAGATTATGTCAAATAGAATTTCCGATATATATTTTCATATTTTTAATTTTGTAATTTCTGCATGCCATCTTACCAGATTTAAACTGATGATCTATAATACGGAAAAATCGATAATCCGGAATCGCCGAAGTCCCGACGAGTCTGGATTAACGACTTTTGACTGTATAATTTTTCTCAGGAAGAACACCTCTTCAACAGAGGTAAAGTACAAACACATCTCGAAGTCTTTTTTTTCTTTCCGACTGTCAGGCCCATGGGCCCTGTGGAACCAGTGTACATATTCCTTCCAAAGATAAATTGTTTTGCAACTAAAACTGGCCTTAGAAATATTTCCCTTCTTTCACCAACTGCAAAGACTGCAGCCTACTTGTATCCTTACCCAAGGGAATAATTTATCATGTTCCCTAGCCTCTCACCTGAAATTAACAAGGATTATCCCCTAAAGCATAAAAGCATGCTTTCAAATCAGAAGACTTTTCCATTCCACTACCAGGTGAAAACCTAAAGTGCATGTCTATTTAGTGAACGAGTTTCCCTTTTTGTGTGATATTATCAACACCCCGCTAATATGACAAATTATCCATCAATCACTTCTTTTAATTTTCTAGGGTTTTGAAAAATATGAAGTCATAGGTGCCACATTTAACCCCCTACAATTGTGTAACGTTTCGACACCAGATGGCAATTTTAAAATCCATGAGTTTTTCTCGGGAAAAGAGTGAAGTGGTGAAATTAAAATTTTAGCTAAACAGACACAAATGAAACCTTGACCAGAGTAAGCAAAGAAGAAACTAAAACACTCTTATTCATTCCTAGCACAGGATCATTAAACCCCTATCCACCTCCCCATGAACATAAAATATTTAATCCTAACAACTTGTAAATTAATCATAATAAATCTGTCACATTACTCATAAAACCATTATAATATAAAAAATAAATCTGTCAGCCTACAGAGTAGAGGAGAAGCCTGGTGCTGCCATCTATTGGCAAGGCAACTTCAGTATGGGCACTAGTATATTTATATATCGATATTAAAATCGTATCTTTAATCATGGAGTTTTGACTGAAATGAAAAGAAATATATAAGTTTTAGCATGTTTATGTCATAATATTTGAAGAGTTTGAATTTTTTCCTCCCTTCCGATAGAATTTATAAATATTCGCACACGATACCTTTGAATGAGGTATATCAATTTCATAACTGCAAAATATTGAGCATTCATAGGGTAATGCTGCCATTTAGAATCAAAAGGAAACACTAGAAACTCAAGATTACAGTTTCTGGTGTAGAAAAATTTAGCATTGTTTAGGAGGTTAAAAAACTGACAAACTTCCAGTATATATTATATACCTGTGCCCTTTAAAAGGTTAAAGCATTTTGTCAAGGTTTGATGTGGATGAGAATTATTGTCCATTAAAAAAAAAAAAAAAAAAAAGATCCATTTCCACTTCTAAAACTCTTATATAAGGTCTGTGACCTTATACAATCAAAAGTCGTTAATTCGGACACCCATAATCCGGAATGATCTATAATCCGGACCTCAAAGCAACAAACTTTCTGCGCATGTGTCGCATTGGCACATGCACGTAAGACCTTTACGGCTGCGAATACGCGTGTGTGCATTCGCATAATACGTTTACGACATGCGCGTTGAATGTATAAGGGACGGTATAAGCTAAGGTAAAATTATTATCTAATTCAGTTAATGTCGCAGATTGCGTTGTTCCTTAATCAATCTTCGAATTGGATCTGACTTATTATTTTTTGCAGACTGTTTAGAGCAATTTTATAAAAGTAAGCTTAAACTATCGATTATGACAAATAGAATTTCCGATATATATTTAGTAATATGTAAAGGATCTATAAAAGCGAAAGTTTTCGAAGTCATTAAACAAAAAGTGGAATTGCTGCAAAAATGGATAAAGGCATATCCTTTGTTTATCTAAACTTTAAACGTTTGTTTATCTAAACTTTGTTTATCTTTGACGCCACGGTGGTGCTGGTGCGCAATGAATTGGAAGTTGATTTGTCAGAACTATCCTTATCTTCAGGGCAGATGTTTTTATTTTATTTGGCTAATAATTCCTTAGTAAATGTAGTATTTCATCTCGATGTACTCAGTCATTGATATGATTTAAATCAAATTCCTCGTCATTATAATTCACTTCCGATAGCGAAGAAAGTGACAGAGGTTATTGAAAACGAAAAAATTTCAATTGACAAATTAGTTGGTAGACACAGCAATTATAGGACTTGAACAGCGGAACTTTGTAACTGAACAAGAAATTATGTCTGTTTATAGAATTAAAGAGAATGTATTATCACATAAAAAATGAAGCAACTTAAACAACTTACATTGAAAGAAATGTTTAACAAAGTAAACAAATAAATATTAAGCTTTTTTTTTTTTTTTTGTAAATTTTGATACCCTTTAGATCATAATTATTCTTTATTTCATAAATTACGGTTTCATATTTTTAATTTTTTAATTTCTGCATGCCATCTTACCAGATTTAAACTGATGATCTATAATCCGGAAAAATCGATAATCCGGAATCGCCGAAGTCCCGACGAGTCCGGATTAACGACTTTTGACTGTATAAGAGTAAAAATGATCAATAGGTCTGTGACCGTATTCTGATGTTGCTGGCTGATCACAAAGGAGCTGAAAATGTGCAAGGGCCTATTGATCATTTTTATTCCTCCACATTCATTACACCAACATTACCAAAACAATCATGTTCGATAACGTTCGATGGAATATGTCTTCTGTATGTAAATAAATTCATTAAAATATATATCAGGCATTCCAAAGGCCAAAATTTCTAATATCTTCTTTTTGTAAACTTTAAGCCACATAAATTTGAATTTAAGTAGTGTCTAGCAGTGTTTTTTCAGCAAACCTCAGAGGCTTTCAATGTTTTGAATATGCATACAAATCACATAACTTTGAAAATACTTCCTTGCTATTTCATAAATAATTGCTTGTTATTCCATAGAATGCAGGTCCCAACTTTTAATGATTTTAAGAAATGCATGAGAAAAACGGAAATAGCAG